CCGGTCCGCCCTGCGCCTCCGCCCTCTCGGCGTCCCTGGGGCCAGGGCTGGGTCGGCTTCATTTTTCTGGGCGCCTCTGAGCCCCGCGTGTCCTCCACGCCACACCCCATGTTGATGCTGCTTTCTGCTGACCCCCTCTCCTTCCGGGAGCCGCAACTCCTCCCTCTCCTCGCAGTCTGGGCTGTGGCCTCTCCCCTGCCCCGTCCAGAGCCTGCCTCCAACCCGTGTACGGAGAGCAACCCCCAGGAAACCGAAAGGCTGATTGCTGGCTCCATGGCAGTCCTGCAGACCTACTTCTACGTACAGTGTGTCCGAACGTGGGGTCCGTCTATCTGTCCGCCTGTCTCCGCCTCTGTCTCCAACCCCCAGTCCCAGCCCCCTGCGTTTCTCCTGTGCTCTTCCTAAGTGATGAAACAGCTCACAGGGCTCAGTCAGTGGGGTTAACAGACACAGGAAAATTGAGTTTAACTCTTCTAAAAGCACAAAAACACAGGTGGGCAACATTGCGACTCTTAGCCCCTTCATTTCTCCTCCAAGCAGCTGGAACAGTTTTCGTGCAAAAGAGGTCATGGCTCAAGTCTGTTTACAATCTTCTAGCTATCCACTCTGGAAATGGGCAAAGGGGTGCCTCATTTCTTTAAGCACCGCCCTTGAGTGTTTCCTAAACCTCTAATAAATCCTCATGCCTCATTTAAAAAACGAAAACAAAAAAGAAAATGGGCAAAGAATAGGAACAGCAGTTCACTGAAGTCACGAGAGTCAAATATTCTCATGAAAAGATGTTTAACATTAGCCATTAGAGAAATACAAATTAAAGCCACAGGGAGAATAATATAAGCTGGGCATGGTGGAAGATGCCTGTAATCTAACACTCTGGGAAGCTGAGGCAGGAGGATCACAAGCTTGCTTCTTGCCTTCAGAATTAAGTCTCTATTTATGGTACATGTGACCAGGCTTCCGAGGAGACAAAGACAAGGCCACTGCGTACAAGGCTCAGGTGAGGTTGGCAAGCGCTTGCTTGGCAGTTGTCACTCTGAGCTGTCATCCTGTGGCCCGGGTGTCCAGCCTTGAGGCTGGCCTGGGCCTCCTAAAATGAAGAGGAATTATCTTGGGCCACATATAAAATACAACTTCCTCTTTTATTATAATTTATTAAATTAGGTTATGAAATCATGCAAGCCCAAGTTTAATAATTAAATGAGGTAACTTACAGTCTGCCTTCTGAAGACAAATACCTTTGCTCACAGGTGCACACGCTGGCGGTAAGTTGGGACATGATTGATGGTTTTTTACTTCTTGAGTTGCACAAGTGTGTGTAATGTCTGATGCACACGGGGTCCCTTAGACTGTGTGGCACTGCACCAAACTCTTCACTTCACCCCACTCTGTTGTTGACAAAGATCCTCGCTCAAGCAATTGAGTCAAGAAAAAAATCACTAAAAATCGTAATTATGTTAAATGTTGGGAGTCGTGTGGGCCAAATCTTTTTTTGTTTTGTTTTGTTTTGTTTTGAGACAGGGTCTCACTATGTAGTTGAGACTGATCTGGAACTCACTATAGTCCAGGCTTTGTGGGCCAAATCTTTTTTTGTTTTGTTTTGTTTTGTTTTGAGACAGGGTCTCACTATGTAGTTGAGACTGATCTGGAACTCACTATGTAGTCCAGGCTGGTCTTGAACTCACAGCGATCACTCCTGCCTCAGCCTCCTGAGTGCTGGCGCTATAGGCATGCGCCACCACGCCCGGCTGTGTGGGCCAAATCTTTAGGAGTCCAGGGCCGCATGCAGCCCATAGCCCTGGCTGGGACACGCTTGAGAGCCACTGAAGACTGTTGAGCAAGGGAAGCACATGACTAGTAAAGGAGATTTCCTTGGGAGCCAAAAGAATATTGTAGAATACTCAACTATTTCCCCACCACCAATGAATTTAGGACCATGTGCTTGCGCTTGTAAGGCAGGTGCAGCGCCATCGAGCTAAATCCCCAGCCCTGAGAATACTCAACTGTTAATGACCCCTGACCTGGAAGAAATTCCAGGTGCCTTTGTCTTGATGTGGATGGCTTCAGAAGAGATGCCCTGTAATTATTTCCATGTTAACTCTGGCCAGAGGGAATCATGACAATGTAGTGTCCCCTGTGGAGTCAGGGCCCCTGTGAAGACCTAAAGTCCAGATACTCGAAGGAGGAAGTTGCATTTAAATATTTATGAAGAACAGGGCTGGGGATTTAGCTCAGTGGTTCTGCTGCCTGCCTTGCTAAGTGAAAGGTCCTGAGTTCTAATCCCCAGTACAAAAGCAAAACAAGAAATCAATATTTATTGAAAGTAATCATGTCTCTCACGTACTTAGGAACCAGCTCCTCTTTCACTCAACCAAATATTACCAATTATGTTCTAAGTTGGGCATTCTGCTGCATAACAGTAAAATAGAAAAAAAAACATTTAAAAAAATAAAACAGGATATAGGGTAGGAGCTCTGAATTTTAAAAACATATTTATTTATTTATTTATTTGCTTTGTGCACTGGAGATTGAACCTGGGGGCTTCACGCTGACCAACATCCTCAGTCCTTTTTTTTTTTTGTACTGGGGATCGAACTTGGGACCTTGCGCTTGTGAAGCAGGTGGTGGAACCACTGAGCTCAATCCCGGGCCCTCTTAGCCCTTTTTATTATTATTAACATCATTTATTTATTTTGAGACAGGGTCTTGCTAAGTTACTCAGGCTGTACTCCAACTTGTGATCCTCCTGCTACATCCTTTCAAAGTGCTGGGTTTACAAGTGTGTCTAAGTTACTCAGGCTGTACTCCAACTTGTGATCCTCCTGCTACATCCTTTCAAAGTTGTGGGTTTACAAGTGTGTGTCACTACACCAGTTCAGCTCTATTGTGTGTGTGTGTGTGTGTGTGTGTGTGTGTGTGTGTGCGCGCGCACGCTCCCAAAGAAGCCTTCTCTTTCTCTTCCTCTTCTTTCTTTTCTCTCTCTCCATCTCCCTTCCTTTCTCTTTCTTTCCTTCCTTCCTTCTTTCTATCACTCTTTCTTTCCTTCTCTGCTACTGGGATGGAACCCAGGTCCTTCATACATTCTAGCCCTCTTTAAAAAATTTATTTTGGGGACCAGGGATTTAGCTCAGTGCTGCCACCTTCCTCGCAAGTACAAGGTCCTGAATTCAATCCATGGACAGGATCTTGCTAAATTGCTAAATTGCCCAGGCTGAAGTGAAATTTGAGAGCCTCCTGCCTCAGCCTTACAGGAGTGCATCACCATGCCCAGCAAAAGATGCTTTCTTGATATGTGGAGTATAGGTGGATACTTAGGGGGCAGGGACCCCAGAATAGAGGCTGGTGAACGAGTTCTGATTGTGAAATGAGAGGAGAAAATTCTAGAAAAACTTTGGATATAAAGTGGACTAGTATTGGTAACTCAGAGCATGTGCTAGAAAAGTTTCCTTTCCTGTTTTCCAATTTTTTACCCAACAAGCACTTATCATGCACCCACTGGAAGCCAGGGCCCATCTGGGGTCAGAGAAGATCCCTGCTATTACAGACTGAGCAGAAGTCCAGGGCAGGATGCTGATGAGAAGACTAATAAGCATAATTCAAGGCTGGGGAGGAAACTGAACAAGGATGTGAGACCTGAAAAGTACCTGGGGACTCAGGGATGTCTGTGAGAAAGTGACATTTGACTGCTGGCGGGGACCGGTCAAGCAGTAAGGCGGTGGAGGCAGAGGCCATGAGGGTGGGACATGCTCCATGTGGAAAATGTGGCATCACTCAAGCCTCTGGAGGCCAAGGTTTGGTTTTATTTCAGGTAGCTGAGGAGCCATTGCAGTGTTTAAAACAGGGACTGCTGCCCTCTGGTCAGACTGGACTGGGCAGCTGGGAACTAACCCAGGGGATCTGAGAGATTCTGTTGAGTGAAAGGCAAGTGGGGACCTGGCTGCTCACGGTCCCCATTCCCTGGTGCCCACTCTTCAGCTCCCAGGTCCCTCGACCCAGATAAAGGGAAGTGGGGGCCCTGCTAGCGGTTAGGGTCCCCTGGGGTTTGCTGGGGCAAACAGGAAGTTGCAGCCTAGTGAGACAGGCCTGGGAATCAACAACCGAGAGTGGTGTCTTGGGTTCCGGACCCTTTCCCTGCCTTCAGTGAAAGGCAGACACACACACACACACACACACACACACACATAGACAGACACACACACACACACACACACACACACACACACACACACAGGTGCATGATAAGGCTGAGCTGGAGTGCAGGTCTGTCCCCCACCCCACCCTGTGTGCCCAGCACAGTGGGAGGGAGAGATTCAGGAGTCCAGACTTCTGGGCAGCTCTTTGTGTGATCTTAGACATTGCCTTTCTTGGGGACTCAATTTTCCCATTTTCTTTGTATCAGGATCTAAATCAGGACACTTGCTTGTAAAGCAGGTGGTAACTCGATTTCCCCATTTTTAAATAGGTTGCTTCCGTAACAAAAGCAGTGGCCTCTTGGGGGAGAAAGCAACATTAATCCTCAATCGTTATTTAATTTTGTGATAATGGTTATTGAACCTACATCCCTAGACCTTTTTATTTATTTATTTATTGGTTTTTTTTTGAGACAGGGTCTCACTATGTAGTGAGACTGACCCGGAACTCACTATGTCCTTTGTGATAATGGTTATTGAACCTACATCCCTAGACCTTTTTATTTATTTATTTATTGGTTTTTTTTTGAGACAGGGTCTCACTATGTAGTGAGACTGACCTGGAACTCACTATGTAGCCCAGGCTGGTCTCGAACTCACAGTGATCCTCTGCCTCAGCCTCCTGAGTGCTGGGATTACAGGCGTGCACCACCACGCCCGGGTTAGACCTTTTTATGTTTTATTTCGAGTCCCTAAATTTCCCAGGCTGGGCTCAAACTTGTGATCTTCCTGCCTCAGCCTCCCAGTGTTGGGATTACAGCATGCACCACTATGCCCGGCTCATCTGTCATTCCAGGGCTGCTACAAAGCAGCTACAGTGGCTTCTGTCCCTCAAACAGTTGTCCCCCTCCCAGCACGCTATACTTTGGCTGGTTTATCCCCAAATGATCTATGCTGTAGCTGCTCTTACCGCCCTGGCTCACAGGGGAAGAGACTCCCCCATGGTGCAAGCCCACCCAGGCTGGCTTGAGTTATTAACCTTCATTGTTGCCTCAAGTATCATCTAAAGGCCTCTTATCACTGTGCACTGGGCTAAACCAGCACTGGGGTCGGACCCAGGGCCACTCAGGCTCTAGGTGAGCACTCTCCACTGAGCGACACCCCAGCTCACAAACAATATTTTTATGGTGTTAATATTATCTCTGGTGCACAGAGAAAGAAACTGAGGCTTTGGGTGAGACAGGAATTAGCCAAGCAATGGTCCTGAAGATTCAAACTCAGGTCTGCCAGACCCAAAATGTGCTGAAGGGCATTGTATGGGGATGGAGGTGGAAATGTAAGAAATGTGTGTGTGTGAGGGGGTGAGGGATTCCCAGCCCGGGGAAGACAGGGCCGGAAGAAGGAGGAAGCCCCTTCACACACACACTTACACAAAAGGAAAAAAAAAGGGAGGGAATCCCTACAACTGAATCCCACTGGTGCACCAGGTTATCTGCCAGGCATGGAGGAGGTGTCTGTTCCAGGGCAGTGACAAAAGGTGGCACACAGCACCTTCACTGCTCCAACGGGCTTACATACTAGTAGTGCGGAAACAGAACAAGCTGACAGGCAAATCAGATCATTCTACATGGTGGCAACTGCTGGAATGAAAATAAAACAGTGCAGCCGGATGTGGTGGTACACATCTGTAATCCCAGCACTTGGGAAGCTGAGGCAGGAGGATTGCTGTGAATTCAAGGCCAGCCTGGGCTATACAGTGAGACTCTGTCTCAAAAATACAAAAGAAGAAGGAGAGAAAGGAGGAGAAGGAGAAGGAGGGAAGAGGTGAGTTTTGTGGTCTGTAGCAGTGCCTGGAGAGGGCCTAAGGCGTGACTACCTCCTTCCTCTCAGGGGGACTGCCTGCTGCCCCCACAGACACCCATGGTTCATTGCCCACCAGCCCCAGCATCCCCTGCGCGGCAAAGCTGGTGGCCTGAGGATCCTGGCTGCCATGCCACCTCCTGTCCTCCTCTCCTTCCTCCTCCTCCTCTTCCCCAAGGGAGGTGGGCCTCAGAAACCTCTGCTGGTGGAGGTGGAAGGTATGTCCAAGGACAGAGGGAAGGCTTTGGGGCTGGAAGCCCGGGTTCCCTGGGTGACCTCACCTGAGTGACTTAGCCTCTCTGGGCCTCCATTTTCTCATTTGTGAAATCTGGGAGGGTCTGAGAAGACTCTGAGGGCCGTGACACCCACCTTGTGGGGTCGGTTGGCCTCTGCAGGAGGCTGAGCCCCTCTCTCTCCACCCTTTGCAGAGGGAGCTGATGTGGTGCTGCCGTGCCTGCGGGGCCCCTCCAGTGCCCCCTCGGAGTGGCTCGTCTGGTCTCGGGGGAACCAGTCGGTGCCCTTCTTAGAGCTGAGCCTGGGGCTCCCAGGCCTGGGCGTCCAGATGGGGCCTCTGGGCATCCTGCTGCTCATCTTCAATGTCTCTGACCAGATGGGGGGCTTCTACCTCTGCCAACCAGGGCCCCCCTCCAAGAATGCCTGGCAGCCTGGCTGGACAGTGAGCGTGGAGGGCAGCGGTGAGGGCTGGGCCGGGCGCAGCTGGGTGAGAAGGGGGAGGCCAACCTGGGACCGGGCTGGGGGTGTCCAGCAGCCAGAGAAGGGCTGGAGGCCAAGGGGCAAGCAAGGAGCTAACTCCTGGCTGCCAGCTCTGTCCTCGTCCCCTGCCTCTGCCTCTGGATCTCTCCCCTCCTCACGTCCTTCCTGTCTGGTCCTGGGTCTCTTCCCAGGGAAGCTGTTCCGCTGGAATACTTCAGACTTAGGGGATCTAAGCTGTGGCCTGGGGAACGGGTCTTCAGGGGGGCCCAGGCTCTCGCCTCATCACCCCAACAACTCCCAGCTGTATGTGTGGAACCAAGGCCACCCTGAGATCTGGGAGGCAGAGCCCGTGTGTGCCCCACCGAGGGGCAGTCTCAAAGAGAGCCTCACTCAGGGTAAGGGGACTGGGCTGGAGAGAGGCCAGAAGTGGGGTCCGGGGACAGGTGGTGACTGGAATTGGGGGCCTTTGGGAGATGGGACCCCTCCCATGGGCCAGGCTTCCCTCACCTGTCTCTCCTCGCCCCAGACCTCACTGTGGCCCCAGGCTCCACACTCTGGCTGTCCTGTGGGGCACCCACCACCCACGTGACCAGAGGCCCCATCTCCTGGACCCGGGTGCAACCTAAGAAACCTAATGCCACACTGCTGAACCTCTATGTGAGGGAGAAGCCCCCAGTGCAAGAGATGTGGGTCCTGGGGCCTGTTCTGTCCCTGTCCCAGGCCACTGTTCAAGCCACCGGTACCTACTATTGTCTCCGTGGCAACCTGACCACCGAGATACAAGTGAAGGTCATTCCCCAGCCAGGTACAGTTTGTCCCCATTGCAGAGCATCTGTGTGGGCTACTGGAACGGGGAACCAGTCTTGGACCCAACATGAGGGCTGGGACCAGCCTCGCCTCCAAACCCAACCTCTGTGCTGAATGGTGACTCCGGCTCTTTCCTCCTTGCTTCTAAGATCTGATTTTTCTGGATCTCCCACTGGCTGCTCCTTCCCATGAACTTTGATGGATTCTCCCTCCCTGCTGAAACCCTGGGCCATCTCATCCTGGCCTGCACACTCCTCTCTTTTGGCCCCTCTACTCTTGTGGCCGCCTGGGTCACGGTGCGTGGCGACTACCCAGGCCGTCTCCTGAGATTGCCATTCGATGCCTCAGACATCCAGGCTCAGCATAGGCAAAATCAGACACAATGTCTCTCTCATGCTGGCTCGAGTGGCTCTGTAAAAGTGAAAGATGCCACCATCTGCCCACTTGCCAAGCTAGGAGCCTGGCCGTCCTTCCCCATCCGTTAAATCTGTCCAAATGTCCTGCCTCTGCTGTCTCCTCGATACACCCTGAGCAGACTCCTGGTCATCCTCAACCCCAACTCCCGTGGCAAACTTGCCCTGGGCAGTGTGTGGACCCCAGCCTCTCCTTACAAATGCACCTCCGCCCTTTGCCCCGCCCACGGTTGTGCCTCACTCCATCTGGCTCACCCTGACCTTGCCACTGTGCACAGGGTTTGCTCAGTGGACACCGCCCCAGGTTCTGTGCGAGCCTCTGCCTCTGGGCGTGGCTCCTTGGAGGGAGGGAGAGAGCCGTCCTCATAGCTTGGCGCGTTAGTGCATCTTGCTCCTGTGTCCCAGGACCCAGGTCAATGGTCCTTAGTATTTCTGAGGCTGGGAAGTAGGATCCAGCCTGGGGTCCTTGCTCATAGCATCTGTCTCCTGGCAGCTTGGCAGTGGCTGCTGAGGAATGGTGGCTGGAAGCTCCCAGTGGTGCCTGTGGTTTACCTGACCTTCTGCCTGGGCTCTCTGGTGGCCTTTCTTCACATCCGAAGAGGTGCGCCATGTGCCCAGCCAGTTTGCCCAAGCCTTGCTGCACTTCCCTCAGGCTGCCCACACTGGCCACCTGACAGTCGCTCCCCCTCCTCACATCCTCCCCTCTGCATCCCTCAACCCCATTCCCCGGCTCCCCTGACCCCCTGAGGCTTCCCAAACCCCCTGGAATTGGAACTGCCACCTCCTCTACTGACCCAAGTGACCTCCCCACACCTTACTGAGCGCCCCCACTAATCATTCCCCACCACCCCACCAGCCCTGGTCCTGAGGAGGAAAAGGAAGCGAATGACCGACCCCACCAGGAGGTAATGCACTCCCTGCTCTGCGCTCCCTGGTTCCCCTGCCCAGAGGACCTGCACGCATCTGCAGCGTGACACATTGCCCAGGATCAAGGCCCACTACCACGCTACCTCCTCTGTCAAGATCTTGGACGCGTGGCATAGTGGCACACGCTCGTAATCCCAGCTTTCGGGAGGCTGAGGCAGGAGGATCACTGCATGTTCGTTGGCAGCCTGGGCTACATACTGAGTTCAAGTTCAAGAACGGCCTGAGCTACATAGTGAGACCCTGTCTCAAAAAAAAAAAAAAAAAAAAAAAAAAAAAAAGGCCCCTTTGGAATGATTCTGGACTCCTCTGTAGGCTGTCCCACAACAGAGGAATTAATCACAAGGGACTGAACCCTGAGTGGGTTCCGAGTCCCATCCAGGTCTGGCCCCACAGTGCACCTCCCCTTCTCCCACTAGATTCTTCAAAGTGACTCCTCCCCCAGGAAACGGGACCCAGAACCAGTACGGAAACGTGCTGTCCCTTCCCACGCCCACCTCCGGCACAGGTAGGGGCCCCTAAGCACCTCTGCAGCCAGCCGC